CATATCCACCTTGAATAAACTTTTCTACGTCGATCTCAGATCACCTGTAGCATGAAACAAGGAGGTAGAGTCCAAGATCGCGAAGGGTCTTAACAGCCACACCTTCGTTCATTAAGTTGAGCCCTTTTCCACGGAGAAATGGAGACGTGCGATCTTGTAGCGCTCAAATAATCTTGGAACGCTCTTCATCAATCCGCTGAAGATGTTATTGCTCTGCTGGCTTACTCACCACACGGTGGTTTTGCTCACGGAAGGCCGCATTTCAGCACGGACTTTGTTCGGACTCCTTGTATAATTCGAGAGAAGACACCCAATTCCTCCTAAATTTTGAAGGAAACGCAGTCTTTATTTACCTAAGCGACTCTTCTCTCCGCACTGACCAGGATTTTGCACATAGTCGCTTATGCAGTATGAGCCGGCCGACATGGGAGGAAATTCTGCTCCTCAGCTATCCCACTTCAGTAAGTGCTCTGGCTTGAGCTTGTTACTGGGAAGAGAGGCGAAGTAACACGAGGTATGGTAAACTCGATGTCGACTGAGCTCACATATATCCCCGCTTCCCTGATTCCCTTCACGGATCGTGAGAAATGGAAACTTTTTATGAGTGGCCCGATATTCATGAAACGGTGAAAATTCGTTCTGAAAAAGTTAATTGGGTTACTTGAGGGGGGAACTTTGTCAGAAAAACACTATGAAGGTTTTCCGTGATGAGGAATCTAATGGTGATAGCAGCATTTCAAAAAATGCACAGCAACTTTGGGGTAGCAAAAATTTAGGGTGGACCTATATTTATGAAACGCAGTGTAGACCTAGCAACTTCTCCATACCCCCATCGTAGAGGATTGCTCAAGTGGTTTCCATTGCTGAAAGGGTGCACGGGCTTTCCGTGAAGAGTATCATTTGTCCTCGTGAGATGTGTTGTTATAGAGATCTCGCTCGTGCAGACCTGGAATCCGCTCAACTCATGGTATACAATTTACGGTCAGAGATAGAAGAAATGGAGAATCAGCTCAGAGAGGAGCAGGTATTGAGGCATTTGATTTAGCATTAGGTTGTTCAGAATGTTCTGTCGTGTTCAATACTCTAACTTTAAATGCCCCACTTTTCGATTAACGCCTCGGGTCATTTTTTCTGTACCTATACAGTGATATGCCAAAAGAGCTAGCTTAGGTTGTGAGAATCTCATCTTATTAAGTTGTCACATGATCTCGGTCTCTCGCGTTCACTAGTTCTTGACTGTTCAAATAGAAGCTGCCGGCTAGAATAATTGTGGGCTACTCAATGAACAGACGGCAAGAACTCCTGGAGATGCACGCTAAGCTGCGGTCGGATAGATTAAAGCGCTGCATCTAAAGGTGGTATCAGTTTTCGTAAAGCGAGTATTCTCTCCTATTCATAGCCTCGAATGCAACACTAAAAACGCGAATTTGTGCGGTTTTCTCTCTCCAGCAGAGTTATTTATTAATACATCACATGGATGTGTCACAAACGGTGAATTGAAAAATAAAAACTTTTTACAGAGTTATGCCCGTAAAGAGCGGAGGCAAGTGGAGATACCAACGATGCATGAACTCAAAGAACCGCAATAAGTACGCTGTATAGAAGTGATTAAACTCATTGCATAGCGCGTGCCTCAACGTGACGCAGCACACCGATTCGCCTCTGTGTGGCAGTGTGCTGCATATGGTGCAGCACAAGGATCTTTGATATTTCCCCGTGCTCTAGTGTTAGTGAGTACAGTAATTAAGTCATAGGAGAACTTAAAGGAATCCTTCGCGAAAAAACATGATTCTATTCCAGCCATAAATCACTGGTTTGAGACTCATTATCCACGATAAGAATGAAAAGAACGGAACCGACAATGGGCTGGGCCTCCCCTGTAGTAGACGACGTTTCTTACAAGAGCTCATAAATCGGCTCCGAGATGACGAGACCTGAAAACAGCGGATAGATTATTTCTTGCTTCTGTTTATTGATCTTTTCTTTTCTTAATCGGAATGCCCTGGTTTCAAGAAGACCGGACATGAAACATACAATGGATAGAGTCCAGAGGAGGAGGAGAAGCTAAATGTCAATGGGCGTAGCTTACACCAAAGTGGGCGGAGTTTGCAACCAGCTTATAACTCGGTTCCTAGGAGTCCCGGAGTCCGGGAAAAAAGCGTATAAGGGTTGGCAGAGGGAAGGGGTCAAGTGCTGTTGGCGGGCGGAGCATGCATTAAAGTGGGCGGAGTTTGCCACGGTACTTCATAACTCGGTTCCAATAAGTTCCGGAGATGGGAAAAAAGTAGAAAAAGGTTGGGGAAGAGATGATAGTCAACTGATATCGGTGGGCGACCCATGCACCAAAGTGGGCGGGGTTTGCCACAAAAATACATAGCTCGATTTCGTCCCCTACAAGACCTCATAATTCGGCTCCGTATAATTGGCAATATAAAAAGATAGAAGATCAGATACGCCGGAACGCTCAGACGACACAAGTAGGCGGAGATGCTGCACTCCCAATCTCAACGATTTCAATATATAACAAGAGGAATAAGGTAAAAGGATATTAAAATAGATAGAGAGGATATAATATATAGGAACAAACTTCATGACTCTCGCGTTTACTTTAACAGACTCGTAATTCGCTGAGCCGAAGATGACTTAAAAACCGGAAAAACGTGGATAAGTTAGAAGAGTAGGAGGTAGATATAGAGGCGATATAATAGATGGACGGAATAATATATAGAATATACTCCGTTCCACAGAAGTAACGAGGGAAATATAGATAGAGATAATGAGAGCCGTGTCAGTGACGGGGACGGGAACGCAAAAAAAGGGCGGAGTTCCTGATAACATTTTACACTCGGTCCAAGACCAGGGTCAACCGTCACGTTCGAACATTTTCGGGATTTTTGCGACCCCCTAGCTCTCGAGGGGTCCAGTTGCGACCCCCTGTTTTTGTTAATAAGAGTGCTAGACATGAATCCGTTGCGCCAGAAAGCGTCTGCGCGTCGTCGCGTCGGCCTTGGAGCGCGGCAGGTATCACCCGGGCGCTGGAAGAACGGGACGCGGCGAAGAAAAAATTTTAGAGGGGAATAACTTTCTTGGGACGTATTTTTTTGACTTGTTGAGGTAGATTTTGATTGTGCCTGAGGTGCGCTTCCAGAAAACTACAAGGATTGCCTAACTCTCCGGAAAGTACTTCTGTTAGAAGTGGAAAACCCAAAATTCTAAGAAGGCGCACCTTCAACTTTGAAGGCCCATAAAATCTTTCGTATGCGACATTTTGGAAATCTGTAAAAAGTTTCAGAAACTTGAAATATTTCTCTAACAAAACATTATAAAAAGTTTGACGATTGTCCTCTTTTTCAAAAAATCGTCCCGTTCGAACATTTTTCGTGCAAAAGCGAGTTTTTGGGCTTTCAGCGGGCATAACTCACTTCATTTTCATTTCTGTGATGCACACTTTCCATGGGGTGAAAGTGCGGGATTTGCTCTTTCTAACAAGCCCTGAACCAATTTTCAAAGTTCATTTTTCGCGAAAAGGCGTTCGAACATTTTGGGGGGTTTTTGCGAACACTTTTTTTGAAATCGCGAGTTTTTGGGCTTTCAGCGGGCATAACTCACTTCATTTTCATTTCTGTGATGCACTTTTTTCATGGGGTGAAAGTACAGGATTTGCTCTTTCTGACAAGCACCAAACCGTTTTTCAAAGTTCATTTTTCGAAAAAATCACACGTTCGAACATTTTTTCCCATGGGTTTTTGAGCAGCACATGCGAGTTTTTGAGCTTTCAGCAATGATAACTTCCTTCAAAGAGCTTGTTGGAGAGGGATAGACATTTGTGAAGACTACGAGATTTCCGCTTCCTTACGTGTTTAACAGCACATTGGAACAAGCGTCCCCAAAAAATTAGGTGCCTGAAAATTTTCAGCCCGAGAAGCCAAACCTTTCATAGGGATGCATTCCAACTGTTCTTTATTCCTTAAGAAACACCGTAATTTGCCCAAAACTGTCTCTCTGTGCATAATTAATCGAATCTAATGCGGTCTGCACAAACAATTCTTGCCCTCGGATACGCCACGCACGCGCCTGTGGCTGGCAGTCCTCGAAATTGCGACCCCCTTCCGACCAAAATGCGACCCCTTCGTTCGAACAGTTCGAACGGACGGTTGACCCTGGTCGGAGTTCTGGAGATCGGGTAAAAAGTGGATCGAGTCTGACAACGGAGCGGAGGTCAATTGCAATAAGTGGGTGGAGCGTGTGCCAGTGTGGGTGGAGTTTGTGTCGTAGTTATGATTCGTTTTGAAACAGTCATCGAGACCGAAGGAAAAAGTTGAAAGAGATCGGCGAATGAAGAGAAGTTAACCTCTATCAATGGGCGAGGATGCACCGAAGTAGGAGTTATGTACGAAATATTATAACTCGGTCCCAAGGAGTTCCGGAAATAGGGGGAAAAGGCATAGAGGTCAACGAAGGGAGAGTTAGCTGCTACAGGTGGGCGCGGCGTGCACAAAAGTGGGCGGAGTTTGCGTCGAAGTTATAAGCTCGGTCTCAAAGAGTCCTCGAGACCGAGGGAAAGAGTGGATAGGGCCAGCGAAGGGAAGGAAGTTAACTGCTATTGGTGGGCGGGGCTTGCAGAAATGTAGGCAATGCGTCTACAAAACAACGTAACTCGGTTTCAGAATGTCCTGGAGACCGGGAAAATAGTGGTAAGTATATGGCGAGGATGGAGAATTCAACTGCAGATGGGTGGAGCGTGCACCAATGTGGGCGGAGTTTGCATCAAACATATAATTCGGTTCCAGGAAGTCCTGGAGACCGGGAAAAAAGTGGTCAGAGTCCGGCAACGAAGGGAGGTCAACACTTGGTGGGCGGAACATGCTTTACTGGCTGGGGTTATCGACGAAAATTATGACTCGATCCTGAGATGTTCCGAAGACCGGAAAAAAGGTAGAAGAAGTATGACAACGAGAGTCGGAGGAGGTCGGAACTAAGGGTGGGAGCGCGGAGGGAGGTGGACGAACTTTGCAGAAAGCCTTACAAAAAATTACGATGCCCCGTTTCAATACCACTGCAGTCCCGTGTGATGCACGCGTGCGCAGCCAAAGTGGTGGTTTCTATATATGATTGGAGAAGAATTATGAGGGCTGTGCAGAATAGTTCTTCCTCTTGAGATCAGCGTCGCGCGTAATCTAGTGTCTCTGTCTTGGAAAAATTCCAGGGCGGTGAGAAGTTGCAGCAACATTGTCGGGAAAGCGACTAAAATAGGACCGCTGTTGCGAATCGGAGGCGTCCTGCGCCAAGGGTAGCATGCGAGGAATGCTGTGCGCACATCCAGAGCGACTCCTAAGGTGGTTTTTCCCTCTCCCTACTTGGCCGTCTACGCCACGCTGCCTCCCAACTCCCAAGAGACCGCTGAACTACCTCTAGCCACTGTGCACTTCCTAACTTAGATCACTTCAAACACTGGCATCGTCGGGCTCATATCTCGTCGACCGTGTACGAAGGAATTATCTTACTACACTAACAAACACCAAAGTGATGTATGATACTATTGTATATAGAAACCACTATGTTACTTACTGAACTATGTACAACTGGTTAGAATGTTAGTATTCCTACGAAAGGTCAAAGTACGTCAAACCTCTCCGCCGGGAGGGCCTGTTGCCTACGTCGCCTGGTCCGGGTTGACCCACGACCAGCCATGAGAGTTTCTGTGTCGTCGCTGGCATCAGATGGAATAGTGAATTATAGATTTTGTTGCAGGGGCTCGTGCCCTAGGTAGCAGTCACACTGGGACCAGCCTAGACTGAGCGAAGTCTCTCCGAGAACGGAACGGTAGAACCGTTGTGGACGTTAATGGGGCCGGCAGGGAGAGACGAACTGACTGACGAAGTGGGAGCCTAGCAAGGCTACGGTAGGCAACCGCACAGACGATGTTGTAGAAAGTCGACTGGCGATGCCATCATCGATGCCACTTGGTGGCCGCGGTTTCCCGCATAATCGATGTATAGAGCAAAGGCAGGTGGTCAAGGTGGCTGACTACGGTAGGAACCAACA